ACATATAGCATCCAGATAAATATATAATGACTATAAAAAATAAACTTCTATAAGTCTAGAAGAAGGATGTTTTTAAGAAACAAATGTGTACATATTGGAAGAAATTCAAGGAATTAATGAAATGTGTAACTTAGTTTGATGGGATCTAAGACTTTCGCGAGTAATCATTTAAATGAAACTAATATTATTCGAATTACTATACGTACTCTATTATTTTGAGGCCACATACTGAAACGTTTCGTTTACTTTTTATTTAAGCTTAGCTTTGTACGCTTACTACAAGTTAACATCGTAATACTCTATACATAACGTTTCCCGTTTTTCACTTAATAACCTATGTACTTTAAAACGTAATCAATGATTCACTTGTAACTCTGCATATGTAGTGAGATGTGAAAACTTTTGCTAAGCGTAAACTTAAACTAATGAAATATTTAGAAAAAAAAATCCTCTTGATTAATGCGATTTATATAACAAAATAACTACAACACAAGAAATATATTTAATGAAATAAATTTATAAGAGAGACTGAATCTTATTAACACTACTTTTTCAATACAAAATATACGAAAAACCATAGATTTGTTCATAATAATCATATAAATGATTATGTAAATTTATAAAGTATATTTCGTAGTGTGACTTAATCTTATTTTTGTTCGTATAATTGTTATTGGTGTGCCGTGAGTATGTTCTAAGTGGTTTTGTATGTAAGAAACGATGATTTGACGAACTTGAAGTGATGTTACGTCACAAGTCACATTGGAAGCGAGCGACGTTGGAATGATTGCTTAATACAATGTTTATTTAATTGGCCAATCGTATAGTTATTAAATAAATATTAATATTTTTTTTGTATGAAATAAAAAGTTTCCTGAAAACAGATATGTAAGTAGTATATAGAATTGCAATGTACCTAAATTGTGTTATAATATTTTTTTCTTGTAATATAGTAATTACGAAAATAACGTTGTGTTCAGATTTGAGTTTATGGTATGTTCTTATGAGCATATAAAAAGGATCAAAATGTGTATACAAAACAGTTGAAGAAGAGATAAACCGAAAATTTGTGACAAAATTTACTCAACAACCGTTGAAAATTCCTTTTTAATCCACAACTTAACGAAAATCGACATAGAACTCATTTGTTAGCAGACTCTAAATAAAATATTTTTTGTAAACAAGTTTGTTTTGATCATTACCACAACAAACATACATTAATAAAATACAATACATTCAAATCATTATGAAAGACGGATTAAAAACTCATTAGTCAAATTAGGACTATAACAATCATAATATTTACATCGCGGACTATACTAGTTTAGTATAAGTAATACTGTTTTTACACCGTAAATAAGATGACCAAAGATTCGGTCATCTTTAAATCGAACTACAGTTAGATCGAAGTATTTTATTATATTAACAAAACAAGTTACAACTCGCTGACATAATATTACATTGGTTTGAATAAAAGTAAACAAAATAAACAATAATGATACTTCAAGATCACAAGACTTATATGAGCATCGTAAATAAAAATTTATAACTCTTATTTAATGAGAATAAGGTTTATTTTCGTTTAATTTGTTTATAATGATCATCTGATTTGTGAAGATGTATGGCGACTGGTGAAGCCCAGTAGCAGTTTGCCCACACACAATGGGTTTTGTTACCAGTAATATATTACTATTCCTGAACTAAACTTCACTTCAATATTATATATCATATAATAATTATACTTCATAATATATTTATCATATATTATTAAATATTTTACGTCCATATGTGATTCTTGTATCGTAGAAACTCACGTAATATAAGCGTCAAAAGAATTGCAAGCCGCGTCATTTATTTAAATATTTGTTGTGTAGTAAATTTTTCTAATAATTTGAAAGTAAACATGTATTCAAATTAATGTGAATGAATGAAGCATAGCCATTCATGGTATAGAAAACGACAGTGGGTCAAGACTCGAGTCGCTTTATGGCAGCTGTAAACCTACCGCGGAGACTTCGTTCTTATGGCTATAACTTCTTTAATATTAATATTTATACATCACACAATCAATATATTTAACACTGTTTTGTATACGTTTAAGTTTTATAAAAAAAAATTTAACTATACGTAATTTTTTTTATCAAAATTAATTATAATATTATTATAATAGTCAGTAGTATTGCATCAAAGATGTAATGCTTACAAACATTTCTATTATATAAGCTTCCTTATTTTTTATGATATTAACTTTAATATTACTTGTAAATAATTCGCTATTCATGAGAGGCTTCACAGAAAAACTGTTGAACATAAACTTATAGCTACTAATGAACGTAATTTGCACTTGCGTCGTGGGTTTTTAAGTAAGAATGGACACCCGGACGTATGAATATATGAAGAATGTTAAAATCATCATGGTTCTTTAAATTATTAAGATTTAACCTTATCAAAGAACTTGACACACATCAACATAATACTTCCTTCAAAACACAAAGCCTAGATGAGATAAGATTTTTAAAATTTAATATAATTCACTGATAATATACAAAAGAAGTTAATTAATATTTAAAACACAATTTATAATATATGATATATATTTTAAACTCAATAATGTGAACCTACGTCCCGATTAACGCGTTACGGTCGCTTGTCAAACTGAGCTATATGTCTAATAGAGTTTATGAATAAAATGAATGACATTATTAAATATAGGCATCAATAATATAGTTTTTTATAAAGAATACAATAGGTTAAATATTTGTAATTTAATATAAGTATATTTGAACGTTAAAGCGACATTGTTTTTGATTAGCGTTTAACATTAGTTTGCAGTTTTGCCGATACCTTTAAACAAATTAACACCAGCCGTGTTAACCCTTTGCGGTTTATAGCTTTATGATGTTGCGAGTAAGATAACTTGCGCAACGCCGACAAAAGTGAAAATAATAGTAAAAGTTAACACTTACTGAGATAATATTTTTATTGTTAAAATAAAGGTTCGCTTGTTTTAAATATCTGTTGTTTTGTTGAATCTTATAAAGGATTTAACAACAGGACGACAACAACAAAAGGTTTAAATTTTTGTTGTGGTAACCCATTCTTCTTTTCATACTAATGATAGGTATACTATTAAAATTTTTGAAAATCCCCAAAATTTTTTTTTTATGTATGTATGTGTAAATAATAAAAAGCATTAATTTTGTAAACTTAATTTTATTAACTCTGAAACTAACATATGATACAAGTGACCTCTCTAGAATCCTATAACAATATGTATTTATAACTACAAGAATGAATTTAGCATAACTACATATCATATTGAACAGAAGCCGGCGTACGTACGTTTACGTTACGTAAGAATCACGTAATGATCAAAATACGGATATATATAGAAATCATTATAATCCATATATAGATATAATTATAATTCTTATATATCATTAATTATTAAAAATTCAATGAATTTTCTTTTTAAACGCGGTAGTGTATATTTTTTTGTGTGATGTCATCGTTAAAAATTTTATTTCGGCGGCGACTTTTCACAAGGTTGAGTCTCAAGGCGATCAACAATTGAAACACTTATTTCAATGAATAGAAGTTTTTATAACGTCAAGAGCATTTAATAAGCATAAATATATATATGAAACTAATATTTTTCGGATATACTAAGAGATTTTATTTTTGATAAAAACTACACCTCATCTGTCCGTGATCACGGTTGCTGTAAAGTAACCGAAATGTCGGGAGTATGTAGTTTATAAAAAAATAAAATCTATATACATCTGAAAAATATTAGTTTCATTTAAATGACTCGCAAAAATCTCAGATTTCATTAATAAAAAAATATATATAATTAATTAATACCGGTTGATTTAAACGTACGTACGCCTTTCATAATAATAATATATAATGCTAAATTGACACTTGAGTATAAACATATATATCGTGCTGAACATAGATAGGTTCTCAGTTTACACCAAACACCATAATTTAGAAGATCTTATACATATATTTACAACTTAATAAACTCCTAAATGCCATGTTCGTAGGACAAACGCCATTCCCTATCTAGAAGTTATTATAATACAAATTTGTTACAAACATTGCACTGTTCGTTAGATATGATATAATGATTTTTTAGAACGGAAAACTCATAGCGCTTATGGCTCAAATGTTAAAATGACTTCGTTTCATAGCCGGTTCGACTTCATGAATCTTCCGTTCTATCTATCGCGCATTCTTATACCAAATCTTCATATATATTATATATACAAAATAATAAATCTAATTCATATAATAAACAATTTTTATTTTCATCATCTTTGTATATTTCTGTAACACAAAGTAATGTTCAATCTCGTAGAAATAAAACTTATGATTCTTATTATAATATAAAAGTTATTTACATTCATAATTATCTCTCGTCCCTACAACATAAATAATGTAACTATTATACAGTTTTTATTATGAATGTTTTGTGGACTTTAATGATTTATATTTAAACGAAAGACATCAACGCGTCCAAATAACATATCAGTGTCTGTCAATAGATAAGGTAGTAGTGTCGACTATCGATCGAATTATCGCCGCGATTACTGAACACATTATATCATAACGAGACGATTGTTTGACCGAAAATATACGAGCCGTGTATGAAACAAAACACACGCGGAGTAACGCTACCAGACGAGTATTCAGTTACTATTCCAATAAGATTTGGTATACGAATGTATCTGTTCGTAAACACTTGACTGTCTGTTCGGTTTAGGCCTAACTGTGCCGCCGCTCGGGGCTCGCGACCCGTGCTGAACATCTATAATGTACTACTGAAATGCACAACGACCCAAAAGATATATACACAATAATACAAGCCCGAACGACGCTATCACAAACACATATCACTCACACGCGCATAGAGTTAGTGAGACTAGTCCGCAGAGTTAGGCATAGCGGGACTTACCCGCGGCTGGTGCAGGGCGGGCCTACGCCAGCGGGTACTGTCACAAGGGAGGCTGCGCGTGCGCGTGCGCATGGTGGTGGTACAGCGGCGACTGGTAGTACTGGTCGGGAGCGTGGCCGTAGCCGTAGTTCACGTCGTACATCTTGAGGTCGGACTTGGTGTCGGCGCCGGGCAGCAGGCGCGTGATGCTGAACGGGTGAGGCGCGGGCGCGTACCCCGTGGGCTCCTGCTTGAGCTGCGCGTAGTGCTCCAGCGAGAGCGGCGTGTGCTCGGGCAGGCACAGCTCGGGCGCCGCGTGCAGCTGGGCCAGCAGCTCGTCCCTCATCTCCTTCTCCTCGCCGGGCCCCGCGCCGCCGCTCTTCTCGTGCGAGTGTTCCCGCTTGTCGTGTCCGCCGTGGTGGCCGTGTCCCTGGGCCACCTTCTGCGCCTGTCGTAGCGACTCCTTCTTCTCGTCCTTGAATCGTTTCTGTCTCCGCAGGAAGCAGCCGTTCTCGAACATGTTCCCGCTGTCCGGGTGCAGCGTCCAGAACGATCCCTTACCTGGCTTGTCCGGGGTGCGCGGCACCTTCACGAAGCAGTCGTTGAAGGACAGCGAATGCCTGATCGAGTTCTGCCAGCGCTGCTGGTTCTGTCTGTAGAAGGGGAACAGGTCCATGATGAACTGGTAGATCTCGGACAGCGTGAGCATCCGTGACGGGTTGTTCTGGATGGCCATCGTTATGAGTGATATGTATGAGTACGGCGGCTTCGCGTGCGTGTAGGAGCGGCGGTAGGTCTTATCGTTGCGGGCTCGCTGCAGCGCCGAGGTCGGCGAGGCGGCCTCCTGCTCGCGAGGCAGCGACCCGTAGGGCACGGCTCCTCCGCCGCCCATACAGGAGGCCATGGTGCTGGGCGGCGAGTAGCCGACCCCGGGCGACACCATGCAGGACCCGCCGGCGACCATGTTGTTGGTGTACAGGTTGGGGTAGGGCTGCGCCGGCATGCAGCCCATGCCGTTCACGTAGGGCGGCGCGAGGCCCGGCGACAGTGAGGATAGCGACGTGGACGTCGGCACGTCGCCGTAGGACAGCTTCTGCGAGATCATGGCTAGCGCATCACCCGCGCGTGCACGCCGGCCAGGGGCAAACACTCGCACTGATTGAAAGAGTAAATAGAAGACGGGGGCCCGGGCTCCCCTCCACGGACCCGGGGGCCGCGGGGCGTGCTCGCTCAGACTCCGCCCCTCGGTCCGCGCAGGTCCCCCTCGAAGCCTCCCCCCTCCCCGCGCCCCCCTCCGCCCCGGAGCCTCCTCGCCCGCTGCTAATAATACCGCAGCTCGGAGAGATAAAAACATGGAATAATCATAAGTGCGTTAGCGGGAACGTGAAGTTGTGTGGAGAAGAAAATGTTACAGATATATACTTTGAATGTCACCAACGACTGACAATACGGCCGCATCATACATGTAGGAAAAATATACGTTTATATTTAAATATTCACCTCATATATGAATAATCTATCATTCTCGTTTATTTTCTTTCGTGAAAAATTAATTAATATTGTTAGATAACGTTCTAAAATTTCAGTGAATACATTCCGCTGCCAAAGATTTAACTTTTCTCGTTTGTAATCTCTTACAAGGTGGGTTGACGGTTTTTAAATAATTTCATAGATATTATAAATTTCTTTGTAAAATATAATAAATTCGCTTAAAGATAAAGAGACGAAATTGCTTTTGTATTTCTCAAAATACTTTTTGATAGGTGTATCTTAGCCGTCGGTGTGTAGCAAAAATTGTATAAAACAAGAATGATTTTAAACTTTAATTAAATATAAATTTTAAGTTTAATTTAAGAACATAATATAACGGACACATTTATATATTAGATATAAAAAGTAAAAACAGTTAATATATAAAGTTTACGAACTTACAAAAGAATTTTATCAAAGCGCTTTAAAGAAAGATAAAATTATCATTTACAAATACATATATGTGTTATCGGAATATTATCAATCAATAAGTTAACAAATAATAAGTACATTTTATTATACTACTACTTCATTTCATACTAAATACATACACATAGGTATATATACATAAAAAATCTGTTCTACAATGAAAAAGTATCTATAAACATAGAAAGCAATTATTTTTTGCATAAAAAACTAATATTATGTTAAGAAATAATTTAAATTAAAAATTCTGAATAGTTTAATATCGTTAGAAACACAAGTCACATTAGCAAAATTTAGATTTGTGTTACGAGAGGTTCAAAATGAAATTTTTGATTGCAGTAATCCCGGTACTTGAGTTCGATTCCCGACTGCTCATATATAATAACATATTGGTATTATTATATATGTATTTTAATACAAATAAATAATGAAATTTCTTTGTGAACTAGAGGCAAAAAACTGAAATATTGAGATATTTATCTTTGAACAATTATATGATTTATATTTTTACCTGAATAGTGTATGTAGCGGGTTATAATATAGGCTTGTCTTATATTACTACTAATATAATAATAAAAAAAAAAAACTATTTATATGGAACATGTTTGTTCTATGGGAATAAATAATGAATTTGTCCTTGCACTTTACCTCGATTTAGTAAATTCTTTTCATGTTACATAATTACTCTCTAAATCCTCACATCAGCTTAAGTAATATGTATAACTATCACGTTATATTTTGATTATTAATTAAAATTTAAAAAGAAACTATTAACTGAATTTGTTAGAAAATCTCAACAAAACAGCAAAATAATGTGAAAGAAAACTTTTCCTTATAAATTACACCTATTAGAGGACTAGGTGCCTACATTTAACTGCTTATAATCTTAAAAGAAACTAAAAGTAATCCGATTTTGAATAGGGCCCTGATATTAAAAGATATAAGAAGATATATTGAACATATATAATATTTATATGAACCCCTTTCCAATATATAATATGATAAATTGAAACGAGCCCGTCACCCGACACCGGATACAGGCTAATGGTGGATGCGTGTATGTAACATGACCTCATGATACACACACATACACACACACACACACACACCACTGGAACAACTCGAGGGAAAATGCAGCTGTCTATATACATGATATTGTCATTTTTATAAAATATTACAAGCGTATCACTTACTTAACAATACAGAGAAATTTATCTCAAATTCTGAAGAGATATTTTTCATTGCTATTACGTATTCTGTGCGAATAATGTTGTGAATGTAATAGATTTTTGTGTGGTTTTTGCTAATACATATAGAAACTGAGAAATAATTTGGTTTTATGCTTAGTAAGAACAAATGAACTGCTTTCATCTCACAAACCTTATAGAGAGTGATATGTAGGTAATGTAAGTGTATGGAAGTGATGCATAACTAATATATAAATAAGAAAGTATTTGCATACTTTCTTACTTATATATAACTTCCAATATACTTCGGAGGCAGTCCTAGTAGGTTTTTTTCAAAATTGGTGAGGTAGAGAGAGGAGCTTGGATAGTGGAGGTGAGCGTATAACGCGCGTTAGATAGGGTCCCTTAAACCTACACCTGGAAGTCCCAGGCACTGTTGAAGCTCCTCTTCCGACAACGTGATGGCCCCGGCATCCGCACGGTGAATCCATTGAATGCTGAGAAGTTTTGCTTACATACATATGTACCTACATTTATGTACTAAAGTACTATAGTCTACCAAGAAGACAAATAAATAATAATATTTTTAAACAATACATACTTTATCATATATCGTCATTTAAAGACACAAGTATGAGTAAAAAAATATAGATATAACTAAAACCATTAAAAGTATAAGCATATCTAAGATCTTAATATACTCGCAATTACTGGTGGGAAGTTTTTTATAAATATCAAATAAAATTTCATAAAGCGAATTTTATTTTGACTCAAATATTATATCAGTAATTTTAAGATATCTATTTTATCTTAAAATCTTAGTAAGATCTGTAATTATAAGTACAGTATTCTTCTTCCTGGTAATTTCCCAGCTTTAACCAGGGTCTGTAATTATAAGTACAGTACCAATTAAAATCATTTATAATCAATACTTTTTACTTAACAAGGGAACAACATCCGTATTTGTTATACATTAATCAATATCAATTAATAATTACATCATTAGCAGCATCACATTAAACAGCTAAGTTTGGTAAATCTTAAAACGATATAAAAACAAAAACAATAACAAATATATTTGTTTCAAATCACAAGTAAACAAAGCAGTTAATTAGGTAAACAAGCGTCTTCCGAACAAAGCTAATTAGTGAGCCCCGAGCTGAAATAATAACTATACTAGATATTCTTTATAATGTAAATATTTATTTTGGAAGTTAACGATATATTAAGACTTTAACCTTTTGTTTTGTTAGAATCATTTGGTTCGGATGATATATATTTTTATGGAATAAGTGCATAGACTTAGATAGATACATACAACATGTGTAGGCTACATTTGTATAACTAGTTACTTAGGACTTAAGATATATTTTTTCATCATTGATAGTTTATAAGGTGAATGTATATATATCTATTATGAAAACGGAATCCATAAGACTAAATAATATATAAATAAATTTTAATATGTATCAAAAATTATTGTCATTATCATTATCGTTTTAATACCGAATAAAATATTGTATTTTGTGCATTTTGTATCCTTTTACTTGTACATATATAAATGAAGCGATGTACCCGGCACCCCACGGTGAATACTGAGGAGTATTGTCTCATTTTGTTTTCATATCCGCTTCTATAGATGATAGATCTTAACTTTAGGTATAATTATCATAATTAATAGCAACCTGACTTTTAGAATTATGTATTTTGTATATGACAAAAAATATGTCCAACTCTGATTAACTAGTTTGTTTTTGTCGCTCACATCAAACATTTATATTGATTGTCTGAGAATAAAAGAGATTGCTAAGTCTATATTATTCAAAGATTTATTTCAATTTCTCCTATAATTTCTTGAATATGACCCGAGTTACTACCAAGTTTGGGCTACAAATGTGTTAGTGAGCTCAAACAAGTTCAATGATCCAAAAAAAACTCCAGTTTGGGTAAATGGAACACTTTTATTTCGCTTAGTAACCTATTTTTGGAATATCTTAAGTTCGATACCAAATAATAAATGTATTTAATTCCATTTTATTGTCATTATAACATCAGTATAATTGAGAAGAACTTCTTTTTTATAATGTAATAAACTAAAAGAATGTTAGATTTTTATTCACATTTAAATCTAGCTTTTATGATAGTTTCATATCTAGATTGCTAAAGATTCTTATTTATTGATTTTTAATTTAAAAAAATCATAATTTCACATAATTTAAGCAATGACAGTGAGAGTTCCTTTCATAGTTGTATAATTTTTTATTACGTCCATTGTAAGCCACGTGACTTTAAATTTAACAAAGGTGAGTGAGAACAAAGGCTTCTAGATAACAGTGACCATCATAACGAGATAAGTCAGGTAAATAAGCTAAATCCTGTAAACAGAATCACGTAAACATAACCATTCATGTCACTTGGTGAAGACGGAGCTGGGAATGACGTGAGAACTCGTTGAAATTAGACGACATTAATACAGTCATTGATTGATGCATGGATTTTTTATGTAAATTTTTTACCAACGACAAATTAAGTTTGTAAGAACTACTTAATTTTTTGTTCCTAAATTTTTTTTTGTTATTATGATATTCAAAAATTAGGTTTCTTTGAAATTAGAGGACTCCTACAGGCTACAAAGTCATTTATTGATGCAATGATTTTTTTGTATCATTGATTTTTCACCAATGACAAATTATGTAAAAACTCTTTAATTCTTTTTTACAAAAACTTTTTGTTATTACGATATCAAAAATAACGTTTCTCAATTTCCAAATTAATTATTGATTTTTTAAATAGTAATGGAAATATTATCTATAAATAAAAATTAAAATTTGAGTGTTTTTGTTTATAATATTTGAAGTTATGAAGTTGAAGAGGAAATTAATTAATTATACGTCAAATAACAATACTGTTAGCCATTCCGCGTGCTTACATACTACATACGAGTGGCTCGTTGTACATACACTATTATAATATTTGAATGTTTGCTAGCTTTCAATTTATTTAAATGTTTTTATATCTAACTGTAGATAAAAAACATTTTTTCTGAATCAACCATAAATATGTATTCAAATACATATTATTTTTATTAAGGCTCTTCATCTTTTGAGAGAATGATTTGTATTACTAAATGGAGTAGTTTATTTACTATCTCTTATCTCGATTAAGACAATATTTTGTAGTGAATTTGATCAACAGTATTGAATTCATAAAAAATAAAAAGGTGTAAAAGGTACAATATAAAAAATATATATACCTACAGACTTAAAGCAAAAAAAATCAAAATTACTATATTTTAAAACTCATAAAACATAACTTTTATTGCCTAGTCGGATAAAAATACAGACTTATCGCATCTCATGTAGAGATAAAAACATAAAATTCCTACAACTAATATTGAAGTCATAACTGAAGGTTGATATTTTATTAAGTGAGTTAGTTTTCGGGTTTTCCGACCCAGTGGGTGGTCCGCATCCAACCACTTAGCGGGTCACAAAAAAATATTACCAAAAATATGGAAATATTATTCACAACAACTACTATGGACATTCCTTTAAGATTAATCCATTGAATAATTCAAAATAAGCATATATTCTAGAATTTTTATTTTATTACGGACTGGATAATATATAATAAGTTGAATTTCTTATTAATTTTTATAATATTAACAGATCGTATCCATACTAAGTATGTCGTTTGTTTTCCTAGGTCAGGTACGATGCGCCGGCGCACAGGTAAGTTGAAACCTTTGAGAGCTTGTTTCCTTTGCTTTTTCAAACGATAATGAAATAACATTTCTCCTAAGCGGAGGTAAAACGTGACTCAATTTCATATAAAAACATGTTTATATAGCCAGCGTCCTTTATAATCTTGATATACATATATATATGAAAATATTTCAAACCAAAGACACAGTACCATATATTTCAAATAACATGCGAAAATATTCATAACAAAAGGCACAATATTTTTCAATAAAGTAATCAATAATTTCTATCACAAATTATATTTATATAATCTATATATTTTTTTAACCTTCCTCTTTAAACGTCTTTTGTTTAAGCTAGTTAATTTTATGTCTCTATAGAAGTGAATATTTAAAAAATTAATATGCATATAAATGCCTTATGACTTATTAAATATTCTATCTCAACGGATCGTCTTATAGGTTTTTTCCTTTATAAACAATTCATTAAAAAGGGTTAAATATTACACATGATCTGTGAAACAGAACAGAAACAATTATAAAGCTGTATTTTAATTGACCTTTAAGTTAACAGTCGCTCAAGTACCTAACACTAAATGTTTTGGCTACTTTAGACTCAATAGAAATGCGTACTCTTTAATGTAAGGGTTATGAATGCAATTTAATGTAACAATAAACTTAGTGTTCGAGTGTTTTATTTATGCAACAATTAAATATGTATCTGTATTAAAAACGTGCGATAAAATTACGTTTCTCAACTAATACAATGCATGATTTTCAACAAAATGTAGAGAAAAAGTTGTGATGCGACGAAAAATATTATTTTTTCATAATGATTTTATAATCAAATGCCAATTAATTGGTATTAATAGTTAGTAATCTTAACTATTCTCTAACGCCGGTAGCCCCGAGCTAAAAGTTGCCGAACATAGCCGCTAGCCGATAATCCTGAACAAGTGGCCTCCGAGGTCCATGGGAACCTCATTACGACCCACGGCTTAAAACTGTGGGACCTATATTAATTCTGTATTAATTCAACTTACCCTAAGTATTGTTAAGCCTTGTGTTTCGCGGTGTAGGCCGTAGGGTACAGTGATGTATTTTTAAGTGGCGTTTTATTGATTTGCTTTTGACTATTCTTTTATATGTTTTATGTCCTTTTATCTTTTATTGTGATGATATTTTACACTTATAATCAAAATCTGTATTTTAAAATTTGTATACCATTCATAATATAAAGAATCGTTAAATGTATCATATATGATTTTTTTTGTATGTCTGTACACATACGATCAGTTTGTACGTCGCACTACTAAGACTGCGTTTCCAGTTTTTCATTAATATCTAAATATTCACAAGTGATAGTTTCAACGTAAGTTTATGAAGGAATGTAACGATATTGCAAATTTGCGCTAAAACTACTGAGAACACAACAAAAAGGATTTCATTACAATTAAGAAATATTGTCGTAGTTTATAATTTAGATTCTCTGTAACTTTCATTTTCTACATAAAATATTAAAATTTTAAGTGTCTTATTTTTATCCCAGAGCTCGTTAAGGTGTGATGTGGGGGTGGATGCATCTAATCAATGGGGGGATGTTGGGGGGGGGGGGTAAGTACACGGTAGCGGGCGTTAAGTGGCCCTCGCACTAAAACCATCATAAACTCATGTCTTGAATAAGAAGTATAGCCACATGATATTATGGTATGGAATTCATATTAATTTTAGTAGTATTCAAAATAAAATAGACCTTCGTTTGGACAAAATTTTGCTATAATTATTAAATATCTATAGTACATATTATAATTAACTATACTTTTCCTTATTACATCTTCATGTTTTAAACTGTTTTCAATAGTTTAAAAAATGGATATACAATGTTTAATCGTGTCTATAACTTTGAACAAATGTTTGATATAAAATGATTATGAATATCAGTATTAAAGATGAGTTGTGAGCCATCGTCTCCTTTGTCTATACCAGACCACCCGAGCTCAAGTATTCTTGAACTCTTGACTAGTTCCTTGAGTCGGTCACTTCTACTTAAGTTTCAAAATATTAGACATTTTAAAACACATTTTATATGTGTTCTAATAATTTGAAACTTATTTCTCTCACAGTAAAAATTATTCATCAAATCTTAGTTATAAAGAAACAATAAAAAATCGCCATTAGTATATATAAGTTATTTGTCATATTATTTGCAGATAAACCAATATGAACGACATATATTTATAAAAGGATAAGTTATACTAGGTATATACAGTACTCTTTAAATCGCATACCTAATGTACTTATATAAAATCATATAGTATTTCTAATAAAAAGTCACGAAAAAAACCGCGTATTAACAAAATGATCACCTAACAACGGGTTAAAGACGGGTTATTTACTATGTCTGGGTAAATCAACCCTTGATAAACCAAAGCTAAGAAAAGGCAATAAATGTTTAAGCTAGCAATTAAACGGGGGCAAAACAAATACTTCGTGGGTGGTATGTACTGTGGTATGGACTATGGAGTAAGACGACGGCCCAGTCGGTGTGAACTAACTATGCGAAGTGTTGAATTTTGTGTTGTCATGCTATTTTTGAAGGGCACCTTAAAGGTAAGAAATCGTAACCGATGTTTGTTGTTTTTTACTATATTTATAGGAATTTAATAGATATTGGATTTTAAAAGCTTTAAACCGTGAAGATATATCACAGAACGAACTGTTTTTATTTCTGAGAAGATTTTAAACATTCATATGATATATTCCAACAATTTATACTTATTACTTTTGAATACAACACAGAAAACGGTGTATTGCATTGGCCGACCAGCTCTAGTGTATGAAAACCTCAACTGCATATTGTAAATACGTACCTACTGTTTGAGTAAAGTATGAAACGAATTGAAACAAACAGGTCTATTTGATTCGCTTCTGTCTCAAAGGTACCTGAGGGTGATAATGATCATTACGACAACAACGGAGTCCTCGAGGAACGATTCGTCACAACAATATTAATTTAATTAAAAACAAATAAAGCAAAGAACGCGTGCCGACCGCGCGCCCTCTTGCCGGCCACGAGTGGTCGAACGATGAATACAAAAAACCGATTTCGCTTTAACCGCGCAATATTTTATCTATTGATATATTGTACGATTCAAAATAATCTCTCCCATTACACTATAGGGCACACATTACAAGGACTTATTGTTCATGAGAAAAGCGTTCTGGTAACAAAGTCGCCGCGGAACCAAAGGGTCAGACGTAATTGGAGTACAATTTGTTTATATTAGGGACTTGGGAGATAATAGAATACTATATGATTAATATTGAAGATGCTATGAAAGTGTTCAATGATTTTCCCACGGATACTAAGTTAACAAGTCAATCAAAATAGCCTTTTATCTTCAAGTGGAAATTAGGAAAATGTTTATACAATTCGCTGATATGAAATATAAGGGTACTAAAATTTTGATTTAATGACTTGATATATTTTTAATATTTTCCTAGTTATTAAAAACCGTTGACAGCTCTAATGAAGTCTATAACACGATTGCTGCTAATCTTTTTAAGCCCAACACCTGGTACTGAGCTGACACATTATGATTCTGATCCCTCTTACCATACCTGGATCCACCTACCCTCTGTCCCACGCAACCCCAATGCAACTTGTAAAAATATAATTATAATAACATGCACGCGTTCAACTTCCGCAGTATTTTTTATTGAGGAGGGTAGCCGCTAGTGTAACTGCCAGTTTGACGTGAGCTTTTTAGTGATGCCAGCATTAATATGTAATTTGTCGGGATGGGTTTTGTGATAAGCGAGTTTGATTGATTAAATAAGTGTGCGCGCCAGATAGGTGTTTAATGCGCTCCAATGATACGAACTTTAATGGAGCGACTCATGATGCGTCGACTAATATTTTTTGTATTGTTATAATTTATTATTAAATTTTCTGATGACTTTGTACGTATGGCAAATTTATGCAGTAATATTAGGTACATGTAAAATCAAACATTCAAATTTTAAATCATAATGTTACTGAAATTTTCAAAAATAAATACCTACTACTATTTTTGCCAATAATTAATTATGACGTCATTATAAGTTATAAATACAAATATAAACTCATTATATATTTCAGATGTAGATTCAAAATATTTAATAATATTCTATTCTTATAATATCTGACTAATGTGGAAAGATTATATGCGCATGTCTTAAATTTGATACCAACCTTCATGTAATGCACTAGCATCTTTTATTACTAGCAACCAAATATATTTTTTCCATAATTGATATTGGTCAACCGTTACCCATTTAGTGTAACCGCTATAATTTACAAGATAATTGCAACACCTACACTTTGGATTACAATAACTATCAAAAACTATAGACGTACGGACCCTCGTCATAGCTCGGTCTCCACGCAGGTGGGACTTAATCAAATTATACAAATTGCAACATACAATATTCATGGACTAGGGATGGACTCCACTGCAACTTCACTGTTATAATTTAAATATATTTACAATGAATAATTTACTATTAATACTTTAAGTACATTTATATCTTATACTAGATATAACGGTTAATTTTCTTATGCTATCTGACGTAATTTAGCTCGAAATACACTGTTTTTAATATGTACGTGTTAATTTTAATATGAAAGCTATTGTTATTTGCAAAACTATGTTGCTAAATAAGTAAGCATCTCCTCTGATTATTATCGATAAACACGTCCTCCCTACCGACAATCGACAAGTGTGATTAATTCATGTTCAATAATGAGGTCGCTTTTTAGCTCGCCGCGAGCCGCCATTGATTTGTGCCCAATTTGTCGCTGCGGTCTCTGAATATTTGATCTGTCTGCTTTATATTTAATTATTTAAAATATAAATGGAAAATTCCAGTCGTTTATGAAGCGGTCGTGTCCGCTTATTAAGTATGAGCTTTGTATTTCCAACTCATTACCTGTGTTGTTTGCAACAAGCTACAGCTAACGTATCGATAAAATGATTTATTAAATTATAAGAATAATAAATGAATATATACGAATTACGATGTAATCACAATGTAATTTCAAAGCATTTATATATCTAGTGGGGCGTCACTTATCAAGCGTGATGACGTCACGAATGCCTAAAACAACAGATAACTAATTACCCCAGTAATGAGACAATCAAATGATTTCCCACAAAACGGAGCGGATATTCCCACCCATCCGCCACGCGGCCGGCGCGTGCGCCTGCGCATTTAGCGTTTATTGAAAACGCTCTAAAACAACACCCCAACACACAAGGGTTAAAAAGCAATTGAACCGGCGATCGTACTCTATGTTTAAACAACATTTCTTTTGTTTTGTGACATTATAAATTATACACGGACATATTGTTAGATTTTATTAAAACCATTACCTTACATGTTATGTGACGTTAAAGATAAACGAAAACCATGTTGAGTATTGAGTGCTAGTGATATTTGGTAGTTTAATGTTAATAATAAAATTATGATACAATAAAGTAATCAGCTGTAAAAATAGCGATAAAAGATTGAAATAGCGAATGGCACACGAAATACAACATATTATTTTATATAATTAAAAAATAAACGGGCGGATACGATTACGTTTAAGGCACCACAGATTATAATATATTACAGATTAGTTTCTAATGTACTTCTATGCAAATGTCACTTTGACATATAATGACATTGACATATAAATACTTTTTTATAACAAACATTGTGACATTTACCTATTACAGTTTATTAATAAGTTAAAACTATTTAACCTACTTATATTTAAAAATTTGGTATAAAAGTTGAAATTATATACTCATATCGGTGGTCACTACGAACGAGTAATAAAATAGTTAAAATAATAACAAATTCGTGTTATTAAAACCATCTTTACATAGATGTTAGTCAAAAATAATATTGATTGACAAATGCTTACAGACTAGATGTGACAAAAGGCGAATACAAGGATAATAAACATATTTTTTTTTAACTATAAATTCCAAAAATCAAATAATATGACGATAATTAAAATATTAAGATACAACCTACATCACTATAACTATTCCTACATATTTCGTGTACAAACTTCAATAGATTTAACTATTTTGAGTATTAGGACATTTCACAGAAGCACACATATAGAGAGCCCAATGTATAAATAAACACACACAAACAAAGATTTATATAAAATTAAAGATACACCCTTATCATGATTATACTGAAATTATTGTCTTTGTTGATTGAAAATAAAAAATTCTTTGTCCATTTATTCAAACATAACATATAGAAATGCTAAAAAATATTTTTTTCTTTAACAAAAACCGATCGTTATCTTGTTAAATTTATTAATTAATGAATATATATATATATCTTATATATTATTTTAATTTCAATATTTTTCAAGCAGTCTGTTAGTCGACTAAAGTTATTTCTATCTTCTTATAAACTTAGGCTTATAAGTCTAAATTGTAATTTTACTTATATGTATATGCAAGTGAATAATGAAGGAGCGATTTTTTTTTATATTTTACTACTTTAACCAATTATTTGGACGAGTATGTACAATGTTATATTTGTAGCATATATTTGTGCAGTGAAATATTAATTAAAGCAAATAGTTTTTAATTGAAAAGTATACATATTATTGCTTTGTTACTAGGAACGTAATTTTTTAAATTAATTTTTTGGGGTTTTCATAGTGATTTCTCTATCACAGTCCAAATGAGCTTTCAAATTTGACATAAGTACTAAACGCCATCGAAATTATTAGTCATTTTGAATATACTAACTAATATTTGGTTTACACAAGACTGGCTTCTTCATAGAAATCATTTTCCTAATATTTTTTCTGTATTACGACTTTAGAGCGATATGAAGTGAACAATAATGAGATTCAAGTATGCTATCAAATATAATAATTTGGTAATGATTAGGCAATTTGTGTCAGCGATTTAAAGAAGTCCTTGGCAATGTAACACACAACATGCCTTAAGGCCGTACGCTACAAATCAGTTACCGGGCCAAAAAAACCCGAATTGGATGTATTGGACAAATTATTGGATAAAACATTCGTGAGATTAGTCAAAGATTTAGCTGAATTAGACGAACTTATCCGTCTAGGTCGAATCTCATTTTCATTTTCGCTCAACAATGAATCCTCTCCATTGGTAAGTGTAGGTCCGTTGAATTTCGATAGCAACTGCGTCACAAGACGTTCCAATCTGAAAGTGAGGGTAGTCTTAAAATATATTGACATCACATATATTTATATACAAAATGATATACTTCGCTTACACTGGCACCGGCGACATCTGTTAAAAACTGATATTAGTATCCCATCTGAAAAAACAAACTATGATAGTGCGGAAGCTAAAAATGTATTACATTGAAGGTAGGAAGATATTTTCGATCTAATAGGTGATTTTAACTAAATCCAAACCACTTATGCTTGAAGCTTTATAGTTTTTAAGGGTATTCATGCATTATTACTATGTATCTATATATCTATACAATTTTTATTAGTTCTAAGTTCTAAGGTCCATCTATGTGCGTCGCTACGTGTATGTATGTCTGTACTGACTTGTGTGAGTGTTCCTCAGGGTTCTGTTTCGATCTCCTCATCTCTGTAAGTTCTCTTCGTAATCTCATACGATCGTCTTCATCATTACCGTTCACTCGTGTATCGCCGTCCAAACTACACGAACGTAGGTACATGAGATATAGAAAAATATACAATGCTTTTAGTCAAACAAAAAAATGTACAGTCTGTTCAAGTGTATTTGGGTATAATGAAACTATAATTCGTTTTTCATTTATTCTAGTTTAATTTTCATCCCTATATATTAATAACTCACCCATTCAGTCTTAAATGTCTCAGTTCGTCTTCTAGCTTCAGTATTTTGTCCATCATGAGTCGTTTGTCAGCCTCCGAGGCGCGTAGCGAACTCTGTTGTACATTACAATAATTAGACATACATTATAAATCAGAGGCAATTTTATCTTAAATCTATAAAACTAAAAAAGTAAAGATTCATAGTATAGAGAGGTTATTTAAAAATCCGATATAAACCTTATTTAATGAAGAACAAATAAATATATATTTTGAATACTAACGATCTTTTTTTTTGGAACTTTTGATGCGTTTTTTGCCTTTATTTCTTGATCAAGCTTTTTGTATGGAAATAAATCGGGAGTCATATTAAAATGATTTTCTTCCTTATTAATTTTTATTTACTACATATAACTCATATAAGAGAATAACATATTGACTATACTATTGCCATACTTTATGTTTAATAAGAAGACAAATTATTAAACATTTTATTTTGTTGTGACGAATTATTATTTATTTTATCAACTACGGTAGAAGGCGCTGTTGATTGCTTACTATATCTTTTTTTAAATACTTAATAGATTTATATGAATGCAACACAGATATGTATTCGTGTGAATTCAAGGGAACTAACTAGTATGGATGAACTTATGTTACGATTACTTATAAGACTATTGCCCGTCTATTTTCTTACTCTTTCCAAGTTTTTCGACATGAGATATATTCCTGATTGCTTTTATATGCTAGCATAAAGTGTTTACATCAATTGAAAATAGTAAAACAATTATATATGTACAAAAAATATGTAACCATATAAAATATATTAAATATAACATGTTTTAACAGAAAATTTTCATAATTTTAACAAACTTTCAACAATCCCTTAATAGTAACTAGCGACGTAATTCCTCACAGTCTGTATGTGACTCGTTCTAACTTTATACTGACATTATCAAAACATAACTAAACTATAAGATATTAGTAGATAAAGTTATATATACATATGTGTTTTATAATACAAATATGTATATAATAGGTATTACATTATTTATATAAAATTTAATATAAGCATGATAATAAGCGTTTAAAAAATTACTGAAGAGGATTCTATTACTTTATCAATATAACTAAGAATTTTTATGGAGTCTTTAATCTCATTTAGAAGTATATGTATATATACAGTTTGTTAAGTATATATTTTTTTCGTTTCAAGTCTATTAGACTTATCTGCACTACTTATGTGTAATATATTTCCCTCGGAGGTAGCAAAACGTTTAGTTGCTTATGTAATGTATGCGGGAACACGGCCTACAGAGACCTGATCACAACTATGGAATTATGGAGTATTTATAATAATGTACAGGTGAACTTATTGTGATAATTATGAAGAAGAATATATATTAATAAAATTTATTTATGTGCTGATGACATCGAAAGGTTTCGCGAGTATTCATTTGAATGAAACTAATATTTTCGGATTATTAAGCGTATTTTATTATTTTTTACAAAATTTTCTCCATTTTTTTATATAATGCAATATGAACAATATGATTTAGAATTTTATTTTTAATTTTTTTGTATGTTTAAATGTAAAACTCAAAAACTGTATATTTCTGATAAACTTAAAATAAATAGCTTTGTATAAAAATAAATAAATAAATATTTAAATAACTGTATTTTTATGTATTAATTTCAAAATAAACATTTATCCTAGTATTAGTCTTATTATTTACTTTAAGTGTTTTATTAAATTATCGCTTATTTATAATGACTTTAATAATTTAAACAAAAAAGCAAAGAATTCATATTAATTTTTATGAAAACTGACAATATTTTTTATATGAAATCAGTATAAAAACGAATTTATTCTTTCGTCATTTTCAATGTCGAACATCCATGTGAAATAAATAACATTTGAAAATTTTCACTCAATTTAAATTACTTATTACTATCTAAATGATTAATTATTTACAATTCTTTATTGTAATACGTATTTTTGTTCACATAATAAATATCTCTGTACTATGATATTCTATATCTATTTATATATAATATTTATTATGAGCGCCGTCCTCACAGAGCATGGAACACGTTTTATTATCGTCTCGTACATTTAGCGAGCACACCACATTATAGCCATGGTGCGAACGTTTTTGCACGCAATTAACTCATTACGATCTGTGAGCGTTAATTTTAAACGCAAATAATATCGGTTATTGAGATTTTAAACGAACGTAGCGTAACAATACGAAGGATTTCGATCACTCCTAACTTTAATCTTCTATATATATAAAAATGGATTGCTGTTCCTTAGTCTCGCTAAAACTCGAGAACGGCTGAACGGATTTATCTTATCTTAGTCTTGAAATGTTCGTGGAGGTTCAGGGAAGGTATAAAAGGTGAGAAAAATTGATTCATTTCCGGGAAAACCCTAAAAATAGCCCTTTTCTATTTCCCATACAAATGTTTTGTTTGACATTAGATTTGACAACTAACTAATATGTCAATCATTCTGTTCGATTGAAACAGGAAAAACCTGATTATTTATGGCCTCTAGGACGGAATAGAGTTCGACCGGTCAGCTATACATATATTACTAATCTAATCATGAAATTAACGCGGACGAAGTCGCGGGCAAAAACTAGTCTTTATATAGAAATCAGAATGATCTTGATTTATAATTATCGTTCATTCGTACCAACATTCAAATAATGTAAGGGCGCTACAATGACTGTTCGTCCGTCATGTTGGTAGTGTGTAGTGAGTGTGAAGGTGTGACGTCACCAGGGGTGGCGCCTCGCTGCAGCCATCCACTCACATCTGCCAATATTGACACAACCCGCCCCACGCACCCGTTCATATTTCAAATGCCCGATGGGGAAACCGGTAAAGACTACAAAATACTGAACATTCGGCACGCATTTGCACCGATTGTAAAATTTATTTATTAATTTTATTTAACATTTCGATATATTTTTATATTTCGCAAAAATATCACGTTCATTATAATCATAAACATAACAAAATTTATATTTAATGTGACTATTTTTTCAACACTAAATAAAAGTATGAAGTTTTTATAGATGGAATTTAAAACTTATTAAATGACGATTTCATCCATTTTAATATTTTTGTCCATTTCATAACGTCATAACAATAAAATAAAAAGAACATCAAATATGTAAGTAGATTTAATTATTAATATATTATAAATTATATTATTTTAAACCAACGGTGTGATGGAAGCCGTATTCAACTATTGGATCGCACGTATAAAGCCGGTCGGGATGAATCGATGCGTTCCACGTTTGACGGCACACGCTGATTTTATAATACCACCACCCTCTAAACGTAATCCAATTAATAAAATACAATTATTCAATAAAACACAAAAAACAAACAATAATAAGACGAAACACAGAAATAACATGCAAAATGTTCGTTAAAAATAACGTCTATTAATTTAAAGCAAGTTTGACGTAAAATTCAATATGGCGTAATGGCGGCTGTAAAACGCGGTTTTAAACGAGGATAGTAAGAAAAATGTATGTTAAATTGACATAAGATACGTCAATTATAATGTATTATTGAGGTGTTTCGCACAAGAACTGTGACGGACAGACCGACGAGTGCACTTCACGACCACCCACACAGAGTAAATATACATTAATAGTACCGAATAAAAACAAAAAATAGTTTGAGTATTTGTGTTACATTCCGATGGAGGGTTTCGTTAGGTATTTTTTCTTATATTTGTCTAAATTTTATACTTTATTATTATTTATTATATATTTTGGTAGAAATTTTTTTTTTTCTATAATTATTATTGTAGTCACTATGCTATGGTCTCAGAGAATTCTTTTTCTCTTGTATGTATAATAATTAAATAATATTACGCAATCTAGAATTAACTACATCATACATGCAACGTCGTGGAAATGTACTTCTTAGTTCATGTAAAATCATTACGTACATAACATATACACTAACAAATATTGTGAAAATAATTTTAAAGATGATATTTAATTTAAAAAAATGTGATATTGAAGGAATACTATTAATAAAATATATAAATTAATATACTTATTATATAGACCTTAATACAGCGCCATCTCTACGATATCATCAAAACAAAGTAGTGAAGCGGATTCAACTAACACTAGAATGAAATCGAAAGCGACATCTATCGCTGTACGTGGTTTCACCTTCAAATACTAGATGGCGTTATTCTCAAAAAATAAATTTACCTTTATTTCATCGAGAGTTCTCTCAGCTAGCTTCGACTCGGTTGAAGATAATCCGCTCTGTAACAATTTAATTACACAAATAAAAGATGCATTTTGCTAATACGCTTAATAATCATATTTGAAATCTTGCATAACTACATTTAAATAACAACGAACAACTCAACCTGTGTTATCAACGATAATGCAGTATAAATATTGCGTAAATTATTAGCTTGTTTAAATTTACATAATTTAGACATTATAATGTTGTTAGTAATAAGTATAGTTATTTTTCACGAAAAACTAGTTTGAAAAAAATTACTATCTTCATATTATTAAAGATGTAAAATTCTTGCCAATTTCTGTTCGCATGACAGGTTATTTTCGAACACGAATACTTTTAGATAACATTATCTATAGATAGCGAGATAGACCTGTACATCTTGATATAAAGCTGCATAACAATGATGGTTATATGAGAATTACAAATACATGATATACTTGGTACAAATATATATATAAATATTAATGTTCTAAAATCGACGGTTGGCGTTCCTCCAGAATACTGACGATAGGACAACCGTTCACACCCAAAGTATTTGTACGTTATTTACGTTAAACCGCAGTTAATACTCACTCTCTAATCTGACAGCGTAATGAATTAATGAAACGCGAAAGCGTCCACTGAAACGAATTGTATAATCAGACGCTAAATACCAATAGGCTTACTACGAGTTTGTATCGTCACTACACACGAAGCGCCGCCCATTCAATACCAGCATAATTTTAATGACAAACTGTTAACTCTACGTATGTAGTGTAACGATTGAAACTTAAAGTACGGATATTATTAATATTAAACCCTCATAGATAGACTTCAATTATATTTAATCAATTTAAGTGATATCGATTTTATTCAAAAGTAAAAAGTTTGATATTTCAGCAGTATACATGTTTAGTAATAAATACATAAATTATATAAGTTGTCCGATATATTTCGTGTATAGACATTGGAATTAGTACATCCTATCTTGCTTTATCTGGTACTCTATTTGGTATACATGATGACTCGGAACAAATGGAATTTTTTGACCGAACAGTTTATGAGAAGCAGCTATAATAGTTTGCAGATATAACCATAAAACTATATACATATATTTATATATATATTTCTATATAATACGTACGTCTGTCTTCTCAATGAGCATTGCTCTCAACCTGGCGTACATCGCTTCCTCTCTGATCCTGGTAGCGTCTCGAATCTCCCTGACCATATCAGCTACACAGCCGGGCGAGTACATACCTTGTAATGGAAATTTACACATACATACATACATATAAAAAATGGTATATCAACTTCCAAGAAAAAATTGTAATACCGTGAAGTATTAATCGTCTTTGATCTTCATGAATTATGCAATAAATAATGTTAATACAAATGGGTTCAGTAGTTTTCGTAAATAACCACAAAATAAAACAACAGCATAGCTACAACGAATTTTGAGTCCTCATTCGTTACTACGTGTGACGATTTATGAATGAAATACTATAAAACTGACAGTAATTTCCGCTATTTGAACTCGTGGTAGGATACTGTTATGAGTTGTGTTATTTTCTATAGTATTCCGTAACGGATGTTTTATTTAAAGACAGTAATTTATGGTGAACCGCTCGATGTACGTGGCATTTGACAAACAATGATCTTAAATTACTACACCGAGATAACGGGTTCATGTTATACAAATTAATAATAATAATAGGATGTATAAATAAAATCTAAGTATCAATTTAAAAGTTATAGTCGATAAAATTATCTAAGCTTTATTTCTTAGACCTTTAAGAATTCGGGCGAGGTCATATGTAGTTAGCTCGTAAAATAATACAATAAGAATTTTGGTAGCATAAAAAATTTATACATATTTCTTTCAAACACTTTTTATATTAAGGATATATTACCCTAATGAAATGACGTTAAAATATGAATAACTCTGGGAAAACGATAAAAACATCTCTTTTAGTTTGACGAAACAAAGTACGAAAACTGTTAAACAAGCACCAGACATTTTGATACAAAGAAAAGAGTCGTTTGAAATGCTTTTTCCTTACTATACAAATTTTAAATAATATCGTTTGTTTCATTTTTCTTATCAACATTAGTCTAATGTTTCAAACTTTATTTTTAAAGTATGTGATGAGTTTTTATTAACGTACTGTCTAAAATTAGGGTTAATTTATATATTTTTTTTTTCTTCAAGGTTCAATACACCAATATCGAGATGTATAATACTAGTTATTTCTTTTAATACTAAAACATAAACTTATAAAAAAATACTGTAATATTAACTATATAAATATTATGTTTTATAACGGACGTTCAAATAATTTACTGCGTGTTGTAGTAACGGTTACTGACAACGATTTTCTTTATTCTGCATCCTCTTATTATTTTTAATAACATGATAATTAACACGATAACATAAAAAATACGGTTTTTTAAACGGATTATATACGATATTAAAAAAACGCAACGTTGCATATTGAAGTAATAAAAAAATAATATCAATATTAATTTCACGTTCTTAAAAACTTTCTGTAATCACATTCTAAGGAAACCGTTAGGTTAACTGTTTTATTGTAAACGTCACAAATTATAAGTACACCGGACAATTGGTAATCAATAAAGCTATCTAAAATAACTGTATGATAAACTTCAGATAATAAATACAAAACTGTTTTCATCGTCGTCTGTTCGTTCAAAAATTTACGTTATTCTTAAAAATTTGTTGATTTTCAAATTGTGGGCAATATTATTGACAAATATCATCTGAAAAAGGCATTTTAGATCTTATAGTATTTACTAAGTACTACATATTTTTTTAAATACGATTTATATATGAATATGTGTGTGTACGTATTCGATAATCTCACGCAGACAAGGTTATCAGACTAGGTCGGGGACTGCGAAAATCGAATAGAAATACTATATCAATACATAAACCTAACTATAAGTTTACATCTGTAACTCAAAACTTACAGTATGATCGTTATCAATTAAAATATCACTGTCAATAAATACGATGATTCATGAAATCAAACAATCGATTTTTATTTACAATACAGTACATACATTACGTACAATTAGGTAGTTACGTGAGCTTATAATAATGAAAAATGTTATAAAAACTCCTTTATTACCAGTTACGTATAAGTGGAGAAAAATAAGAAAATGTAGAACACACGACATAGACAGTTTTCTTGTAACAGAAGTATATATATTTTGTCTTACTTACTTTCTAATCATGAGTTACTTAGTGGTGTAGTAAAGACAGTTTATTAAACATCTACTTGGCAATGAAATAAAATATAATAATTATTCCTAACAAATATGATTTTGTCGATTTAAACATTGAATATTTTTATAAATAAGTATAAAATATTACTATGTTTTAATATAAACATTATGTACATGTAATTTATTATATATTCATATTGTGGTATGTTATTTTAAAACTTTGATAATCCTCATAAGGCTTCTTATTAAAGTCATTGAAAATTTCATATAAATTATATAGTATGAATCTTACCATTGCTGTTAAGATTAGCCGCTCCCAAATTTCCTGAGCCTTTAGGAAAATAACCATTCTGCCTCAGACTATCTAGTTCAGCTGAAATTAAATATAAAATAAGATTTTATTGTACATAAAAATCGCATTTAAAAACTATACAAGGATATTATAGAACATACTATATAGTGTTGAAAATATGTTCTTTTCTTTAATAAACTTAAATTTAAAAAAATCGCTATAAGCATTTTAAAATAATTTCAAGCAAAATTGTTATGATATACAAAAAAATCCTCAAAAAATATATAACAGTTTTTTAACAACTTTTTGACTGTATGTTATAGTTAAAATTTGAAAATAATAAACAAGATCTCAATTCCAAAGTATCCATTACATGAAAACAATAAAAAAAGCTTGAATGCATTGCTATTGTTAGCAAATCAAATGATATTTGTGACCTTGTCTCATCATGTTATATGATATTGAGATAACGTGTGGGCAATGTGATATTAAAATATATGGTCATAAGAAAGTGGGCAGGAAGGTTGATACATTAAAATATATATTAATTATATAAAAAACTTGATCGAGAAGGAAATAGTGAGTCACAATATGTGACAAGACTAGAAAATTACTGAGTTTAATATCTAACAATTCTAATTAATAATAATAGTTTAAAAATGAACATTATGTTTTTAAATCAATTAAAAATCACCTCTAGTTTCTTGTAATTCTTTCGTCAGTCTACCATTGGCGGCTTTTAGTGATGCAATTTGATCCAAAAGGCAGGTTAAGAGACGGCTGCCAACTTGACTTCCCGACAAACCAGAACTAGAAGAATCCGAGTCTGCATCCCCATTAGCTTGCCTCTCAGCGTCAGGCAAACCTCTTACACAGGGATCACTGAATCTTCTTGTATTATTTGAATCTTCTTTGTCATTTTGCTCCGGGAAATCACAATTTGAATTTGTATCTGCCATTGAAGTCACAATAGGAGGTAGACTTGCGAAATCCTGGCTATCTGAGAAATGTTTCAGTTCCAGATATGATTTTTGGTTCATATTGTCTGTTGGGAAACTTGCCACTTCTTCTGCTTTGTTTTCATTGCGCCGCCGGGGACGCGTTTTCCGGCCCTGCATCTCGTGTGGATTATTTGAATTAGGATAGTCAGAGTAAGGTGGTGGTATAAAAGGGTTGTAGTATGTCGGCAATGGTGGTAGAGACATCGGCTCTGGTGCACAACCGTACGTATTATATTTATATGGATTAAACCCGGGAGAAATTTGAGGATACATGTTGGAATTCATGAAAGAATCATACATTTCTAAACTGGGTGGAGGTTCATGGATGTCACGCAGTGTTTTGTCAAGCCATTTCGATAAGAACGTCCCTTTACTACGCGATTTTTTCCGTTTTCCACCCGGGCGGTCGTTATTTGACGGCGAATTACCATTCGCTTGTTTTGGTGTAGAAGCCATTTACACTGATGAGTTAAACAGTTAAATAAAAGCAGGAACCATAGATACTATTAAATTACTATTGTTTATAATTTCACTAAAACAATAAATAAAAGCACTTATTATTCTCGACTCAGTTTGCATAAATTAAAATATTTAACACAACTCCACAGTCCACTGATTCGAATATAAATGTCAACTGTCTGTCAGTTACTAAAAATAATACATACTTTGACATTTGACAACTACAAGACTATAAATGCATTCAAAGATAAAATTAGGAGGACCATTATTTTATTCAGATAACTAAAACTTCCAAAAATTAAAGTTTGACTTTATAAGTTTTGAAATTTCAAGAATTACATATTTCAAAAACATTAATCGAGTGTTTAATGTATTACTAAATATATTGTCAATAAACTTATAAAGAGGAATCATTGTGAACTTGTTGTTTTATAAATAAACAACGAACAATAAACTTTAAACAGATTTTTAATATTAGTTTCGTTAAATTTTTTGAAATATTAACATTTGTAAAAATAATAAAAAAATATTCTAATTCAGTAAAAGCAGTTGTTTTCAAAAGAAGCCGATAAACGGTTCAATAATCAACTCCCTGAAGCAACAAATACTAAATAATTGTAATGCATCCTTATTAAAAGAAAATTTTGAGTAATAATATATTTGAACACTAAATGTATTTAAAAGTTATTATTATAATTTTATAATAATAACTTTTAAATACGATATTAGATAAATTTTTCTTTATAATGTTAATAATTAATTTTATATAGAAATAAATTATTTGGCAACAAACCATTTTACTCAATTTTAACGCCATGAACCTATTTGGATCTTCACATTATTTTTTTCAAATTACATTTTGATTAAATAAAGGAAATTTTAAAAAATACTGTAAAATTCCAAACCAAAATGCTAAAATTTTTATTAGAAAAATGTTTATTCATTGCAATAAAGGTAACTTTAAAATTAGACGCTACAAAATATTAACAGTTTTATAAAGTTGTTCTCTTTTAGTTTTAACCTGGTTTCGTAATGAATTTTACTTGTTAATTTTTTTTGAATGCGCCATCTAGTAGCAGAGTAGTAAAACAAATTCAAAGCATAACTTTAAAGTGATTTAACTTTTTCGTAACAGATGGCTACTTCGAGTTTTAGAAGACGATAAAACACTGCTAATATTTCTTTATGCTTGCATCAATTACTAGTTTGTTTTTTAATCACTAAATAATATAAAAGACAACGAATTTTCAAAGGAAATTTTTACTTTTGCTAGAAGATAACAATACACTAAAAATATCTATTCATCTTGAACTACCGAATATCTCTTTACTCGGGAATGTTACTAGAACTATATTTTAATTTTTCATTCGTGTTTTCGAGGCCATTATCTATGTTTCGTACAATTTTTAAATCCACTAACTTGCAGCTTTCCTTACTTAGCCGTTTACTTTGCAAATAATCGAATTATTTTACCAAAAATTCTTATTGTTATGGTGGATTTCTTTTTTTCTTACATTACTGGTTTAACAATAAAATGTTACTCTTACAATCATAGATAGTAGATGTATTAGCATTTTAATGAGACAAATAAAAAACGAATTATGGACCGAAATTTAATCTCAATATATATAAAACAATTTGATTTTATTATGTATCAACTTACAATTCATTTTCAATAGTTATAATATATATGTGTGTGGACTGATGATATTTTTTCTTTTATAGATAATAAAACATATTTACTATGTACTCTATGGCACAGAGTATATTTTAATATAAAACAATAAAAATTAAAAGCGATTAGTAAAGGTGAGAAAGTATTGGCAGTAAATTTTAATTAATAGAGTTAAAAAAAACAATTAAAAAAGAATTAAAAGTATATCAAGTATTTCCAAAGCAAAACCATAGAAATATAACTAAGCTACAAAAAAAAAACATGTCTACACTTATAACTGTCATATTATTTTGCAATTGTTTATTTTATGATCTAACAGAAATATAATAAGTGTAGAAAAAAATTATTAATAACTATAAATCAAAATCTTAATAATCTATTATTGTAGATGAATATTCTATTGAGATTTTATAATTTAAATTGCATTCATTTGATTTAATTATTCTGTGACAGTATACATTGTACTTAAAATGTATGGTGCAAGTTAATAAACAGATGACTATTACAATTATATTTATTGAAGACTGATAAAAAACATATTGAAATAAATATAACTTATTCGAGTACATAATGCAAATTGATTGTTGCTAAATCATTGTAATGTACTAATTCTTGTATATTTTATGTATTGAAACAGTTTTTTTTGTATTATTGATCTCTTAATCTATCTGAGTATATAATTTTGATCATACAATAAAATTGAAACTTAATTATTAAACAAAATATAAACATAATATTGTGTTATGATAATATTTTCTTGTAAATGTCAGTTAAAACTATACTGATAAAGAATATATGGAAGACTTAAATGGTTATAAATTTTAAATAATTTTTAACATATTCAATCTGTATGTCCGTCTATCTTGTTGTGGACACTAAAATAACACCCAAACCTTATATAAAACTATTTATTTTTAAATCAACGTACCATTCCATTCTAAGTCACATTATATCACCTAGGATTCCACAAATTATTATCAAAATCAGTACATGATGGTAATATTTATACAATACTATAAGAATCCCTCGGAAGAAACAAGATATTGTTAGATATAAATGGTTTGTAAGGTAACTATGTGTTTAAAGTGGAATCCTTGTGGTATCTAATTATAAAAGACCCTGCATTCATTCCAGTGATTTCATACTGAGACAGCGTTTAATACATCCAGCACCGATAACATTGGAATGTTATTCACTTAAAGAATTGGACAATTCATATTGATATCAAATAAAAGATGTTATAAACGCGATCGCAATAAAAATACCACGTAACAAGCACACGTTTAGACCAGTTTGACGTCATCGAATGCTGTGAGGAGATCGCTTGTGCCTTGAAGCATCTCAGAATCAGACCAGAAGTCGGTAGATTGTAGCTGCATGTTGGAATCCATCAGCATATCTGATGTCTGGAGGGGATATCCCGGGCTAGTCTGCATTTTGTTCGTCAAATACGGATCATAGCCCTGCATTACTCCGGATGGTGATAGGAGAATGTTGCTATTGGGGCTGTACATTTGATAACTACCAGCGGGTGATAAAGATTGGGGGGTGGAGTAAGGGCTTAAAACGCGGTCTCTTTGGACCGGACTTATAGCTGGGCTTGATGGGAGGGAGTATAGCGGACTACCCACGTTTAAAGTCAGTGGGGACATTGGATTTGATATGTTTGTTATTTGGTTGGTTATTGTGTTTCGGAGCTGCTGGTTCGGCTGCATCATGTTTATGACCGGCACCGGGATGTTTCGGAGTTGGCTCTGTGGGGAGACCGTCGGTGGAGTGACTAGCATCTGATATTTTGGCAGCTGATTCGTCGTCTTTCCATTATTGTGGACATCCTGGAACATAGAGATTTTAGTTATTTTATTGTAATCAATATATTTTAACGTTACATTTATTATGATGCACATTGATTTACTCGGGGATAAAGGAGAATGTATATTAGCTTTAACCTTGGAATTCGCTTAATGAGGTATAATTTTTACGAAGAAAAATGTTAACTAGGTGTAATTTAAATACAAATGTTATTAACCACATCATTTAAGATTATATTTCATCGTACTTTATAGAAGCAAAACCAAATGTAATCGTAGTTTTTTAAACAGCAAAGCATCTAACCCACAATAGCTAAATTGGCTCAGTTTTATCTTTATTCTGTTTGGCTTTTATTCGTTATCTTCACATACAACGGTCCCTACAATTTCGGACAGAATTCTATTTAATCTTGCCTTTTTTTGGGTAACCATTGTTTCTTTTACATTGTTAATATGACGATAAGCTGATTAAACTTTAAATTCGAAAATAAAGTAACATTTAAATTTAAAATATTAAACACGTTTAACGAATTTAAATACGTAATGCATATATTTTTTTATATAATCATAATTCTCGATTGAGTCATTTTATATCTCAAGATAACTTTACTTCAGATAATCTGATATTTTTTAATTACATTATTTGATTATAAGTTCATTGACCTGTGCTCTGTATGATGTAAGTCTGTCGATAATTTCTCCGAATCTCATATAATTATACAACCGAAGTCCAACAACTCGAGCAAGAAAAATAAAAATTTTAAAGCCGCTTCGTAGCCACTGCATACTAAGAACGATTCTGAATTATATAATTTATTATAATTCATATAAAACGATAAAATATGACCACCGGAAAGTGTTTGAACCGGTTGTAATGCTGAGACTAAACTCCTTTTATTAATATTAAAGAGCTTTTATAGTAACAGTCTCATAGATATTATTATTTTCATGTCCAATATAAAGAAGTTTAAGAATCTTTAGTAAAAAAAATTCTATATATTATTTTTCAAACTCTGCTCCTTACGTATATATTTAATACGTATTACAATTACGTATAAAAGTTAAAAAATTCCAAGTGAACGATCATTTAAGAGCCGATTAATTTCAATATGCTTTAAATCAAGTTATAGTATGTTAAGTTTAAAAATAAACAACTCTTGGTTCGATTTCTCTAAATGATTTATAACTTTTAATTTAAAATAAATTTCAGATCACTGTTGAGCAAAGGCCTCTTCTCACATGGAGAAGGTTAGGTTAGAGCATTAATCGCCAGGCTTGCTCAGAGCGGATAGGCGATTCCAAGCATATAATTTGAAATTATAAGTCCAGATTTCCTTACGATGTAATAATTTCAAAGTCTATCTGATAAATTGTAATCATATAAAATATATAAATGTACTTTGATATTTTAAACAAACTGACCATGTTATAATAAAGATTAAATCGCGGAAATAGTATAGAACTACAAGCTGATACTTAATACATCAGAGTGATAATTCCTGTTATATATATTTCAACTCATATATTTATAGATAAAACATCTGCTTTACATGAAGTTCATATAAAATCATATATTATGAGTTGAAGTTATACCATATACGTGTAGTTAAATTCCAATCAGTTAAAGCTAATACAGGATAAGGGAAAGGGGGGTAGAGATAAATAAAATCAATGTGCACCATTAAATGATGTGATCTCAATAGTTTTAATCAGAACACATTCATACTTATTCGTTTTTATCACGTTTCTACATTAAGACTTTACACCTAAACAACAGTTTTATTTCTTCTACATCCATGTATCTGTATATACTATAAGATATCAAACATTCTGTACACTATCGAGTATTCCGTAGCTATAATAGAAACATAATTTCTGTTCACAAATGTAAATAATAAATACTTTTCTCGCTAAAATTGTACATAAAAAGTATATACCATAACAAAACAACTACACCGTCACTAAGTTGTACTTCGTATGATTTGGCAGTGACAACGGTTAAACTAATATCAGTTAAAAGCGAATCGTCAAACAACTTCCAAACTACTCGTACTAAATAAACTATGAATGTCAATAACACCATACCATCCGTACAGGCTATGTATAAAATTTAATAACAACATTATTAAAATACAAAAAGAAAACACGTAACTATAAATAAATAGAGTAATCGCAAAAACATATGTCTAATTAATCATTATCTTAAAAGGATTCGACACTTCCAAAATTATAGCCACAGAGATATGTATATTTATATTGTATACCTAAAACTAGGGTAGGAGTAAAACAAACGTATTTATATAGTCTGTGTACACGAGATTAAAAGTCCTTTTATATAGAGCCGGAGACAATTTGATTGCCACTAGATGTTATTGTCACAAATGTAGAATAATGGACGCGGTTATATCACATTAACGACGCCACGATACAAGAAAGGGGAGGTTTGGGTATAGTCGTTATTATCACAGTATTATGGCGGAGATACACTGGCTGGGTATGTATTGCAGCGACCGATCTAACACCGTCCTGTGAATTGGTAACGTCGAAACACTTGCGCTATTGCAAGACGTTGATAATTGATGTTATGATAATTAAGCAACACTGCCAATATATCCGTGCTACGATGAACCTATAGTCTGTCACGAGGATAATGTATCTCTGTCTTAAGCTTTCAGTTTATGCCGCGGTCGACTTTGGACTATACAGATGTAGCCCGCGTCGACGTCACACCCGCTCACCAGGAGGTTCATAAGGACGCTTGAGGTCTGATTCGTTGTCGGTGATGGACTACGCTTCACGCGTTTCGCTGAGGGCTCTTCGTCTTTAGTCAACACACGCTTAACACCGGTGTCCCATGTTGATATCTTGCTTGGAATAAGACCTGGAATAATTGTTATCATTAAGATTTTTTGTATTAATATTGGTAATATATTATATGGTTTGAATTCTGACCTTGATCTGAATATATATTTGTGATGAGATCTTGTGGTCGTGGCCCGGTGGGGGGCGCTGCTAGTAAGCGTTGCAGCGCTGGTGCGGGGCTTTGAACTTCAGTGGGTTGAGGTCTAGCCTGGCACACGTTGTCAGGCAGAGCCCCCCACATAACTGCTGGCTCCAGAAGAGGAAGCTCATCAGTGGTGGGGATGAATGGTGAATGTCCATCTTCGATGTCATTCTCAGACTTGTTACTGTCAAACGCATCCAAAGACAACTCGTTCAGAAGCGACGACTGTTCGCACGATGATTCGGTTTCCTAAAAGAATCAAATATATTCAAACGATCCGTTTCTCTGTTTATAATATGACTATATCAAAGATACTGCACCTGTGGCTCTGGGGACGAGAGTAAGGAATCCGCTATCAACGAATCTACTGGTGATCCACTCGTCAGATCATCACCAAGTAGACTACAATAATTGTCACTTAAAATGAATTCGTCGAACATATCAAAGGGGCTGTTCTCTAAAGGAATGCAAGCATCTCCGGCAGTCGGCGCCAAATGTGTGAGGTCCTCCGGCTCGTCTTTAAGCACTGAAAAATTTATATCAGTGTTGCAAACGAAAATTTATTAACGAGTAATTTCACTAAAGCAAGCAATGAGTACCTAAGCTTTTGCAGTTCGTTTGCAACTCACTTGTAAGTCCCTCGTCAGGAGAGAACATGAGAAATCCTTTATTCATTTCCTTCTTTCTGGGTGCAAATATAAGTTCAGTAACGGGTACAGGGCGCTCTTCTTCTGGAAGGACAGCGGCCACTATAGCACCGTTAGATGGTTCAGTGGCCACACAAATCTGTGTTGGATTAGCTTCAGCTCTAGTTGGAGCCACGGCAGGCTTCAAGTCTGCGTGCTGCACTTGGTGTGCAGCGAACACCTCATCTTTGCACTCGATACCGCTGTGAACAAATCAAACACAACATAGATGTGGCACTAAAAATGAACACATTTCACATACAACATGGTCTACAGTACGCGATTCCATTTACAATATGTGTAAAAACGTTTTGCATACCTATGGTGTTAATTATATTTGCATGTAAGCGAATGTTTGGTATTAAACAATGTGTATGACATTGCAACAAGGTACGAATGTAGTGATACAGATATGTGCGGTCTAGTAATGAGCCAACAATACCTCAAGGCCGATCTTTTAAACGAAAGATCATCTAATCTATTCAGTCATCAATTAATGTTTTTTTCCATTGACTTTAATTGTTTTTTATTCAACGGTAGGTGAATGTAGCGAATATTCATTAAGTAAAATGTATTGTTTGTAACAGACGTTAGACTATAAGGAGTGAACCTTCCATAATAAAGATTTGATCAATGTACATGACTATTTATATAAAATTGGTTCAAGTGCGCCATTAATTAGAAAATGTCAATCCGTTGAGATAACCTAGGGATTGTTTCTCAGGGATACATTTACGTCAATTGACTACAAAACGACGAAACCGACTATGGACATAAGATAACAATTATGTTGATTAGGAAAGGGTTCATGTTATAATTAACCTAACAGATATTATAAGTGCTGTGTTGATGGAAATGTTATACATATTATATAGATAGTGTAACGTTACGCAACATACCAAACAGTTGTTTTCGTAAACATTGAAAATATGTCAACAAAACATCTTGAAAAAGTTACTGCTATAGAAATCTGTTATTAGGGAACTGAACAATAATGATAAAATTCAAAGGCAAAGAAAAAACTTTAATTCATTCGAACGAAACCCAAATAAGAGTATGTTAGGTCATTTCATTTACTCGAGATAGTTTTGAAAGTGAATACGTTAGAATAGGATAGCTATATTGGATGCTGGGCTGTTTAAAAGAGAGGTATATATTGTAGTAACAGTAACCTTGCTCGCTCACCCCCTGCCTAAAACCCCCCCATGTTATCTTTATTTCAAGGCGGCCATTCACAAGGATTGTAGTGAAATCGAATGCGTGCGCGCGCAATATACCACGAGGCAACTCTTATATCGATCGCCGGCTTCATTAAGATTACCAACTGTCTGACCATCCTATATAGAAAGCTCCTACTTCTCGAACGATTCACTCATAAATAACCTGACAACATTCTGTCTAAACACACAAGTCGAACGAACGTTTGAATATCTTTCCGCCTCTATGTCAAAGATAATAAAGTCGTCGAATGTTAAGGAAGGTCCTATGATGCTGTGCTGGCCGTGACCTTGGCAGTGATACAGTTCAATGGGCAGCTCAATTCAACATTACACCATTGAAAGAGGTTCATTTAACGTGAACTGCTTTATAAAAAATAATTTGCATCTATGTAAATTGAAATTTGTAATTCAAAGTAAATACTTTATATAATATTCAGCTATAAAGTACAATGTTAAACATAAGATGAATTTTAAATTATAATTTATTGTTTACTCCCTTTTTGTTAAAACAACACGTCACAAATATTAAGTGGTTTAGTAAAAGTTATACGATTATTAAATTCGATTTACTAAGTTACTGTACTATACAGGAAAATCAATGACTTAAAGCGAATAAAATTGATTAAGCATAATATTATGTTAGCTATATTAGAAATGTATTAAGAATAATGCCGGGAGTCTGCGGTGTACCAGACAATATACTATCATGATAAATATTTACGTTTCAATTTCAAGGTCGCTTGATAAGTTCTACCATTGTAATAAATAGGAAGACGTTACAAATATACTAGGATTACTATGAATACAAAGTGTTTAACGAAATGCGACACTATTGGAATCAAATGTATATAGTTTAATGTCGATTTAAATTAAGATTATCGACCCACTGTTAACTGACCATTTAACTATATCACATAGAGAACTGTTCGCAATTTTATTGGCTGAGCAATACGTTCAATAGTATTCTAGTTTAGAAGATCAAGAATCGTACAGCCAATGGCGTGGCTGTGATCGGCGCGGGAGTCAAGGCCAGTCGCTGGCGTGGTTATGTAACCATCGTCTGAGGACAGCGGGGGGACGCTTCAGATAATTTTAGCGCATCTCAAAAACAACACCAGCTTCATATACAGAATGCAAACGCAGCGTTCAGAACGTTATAACCGATGACACTCATTGTATGGAAATAGCTTCACTGAGCCAGATACAAACTAGAATTAAAGATAAAATACGTATCAGATTGCAATTTACGATTACCGATAAAATAAATATGAATCGAATTGTACGAACACTTTTATATATATCTATAGTAACGCTATTTAATAAAGGATCAAGAAATTTGTATCATAAATGCGAAGACGAAAACACATTTTGTTAGCATTCTACCGTCTATATAACTTTTATATTCAATGGATATGTTTTATGAGCACTAGTGTCACATTCACGTAAATCACTGTACACTCACATATAATATCACTTTGATCTTACCATTTTGTTAATTAAGTTGTTGTCAAACTATTACGGACGCCGGTTGGTCTTGAGAAGCCAACAGCTGATCGTAACTGAATTTACAAAGCAAATGTTAGCGTGTACGCTTGCGACGAAGTCTGTGGCGCGAATGATAGATCGTATGACGGCGCACACCCGCCTCGTGACTCGTCCAACCTGAACTACGATTAACTGGTCGTGCAACGAACACTACTATGATAAATACGATTAGAGGTTTAAACAATACGAATACGTACAGTACGAAACTTTACAACACAAGTTAAAACCGATCACGTAGCAATTAACACGACATCATTACACGACGTGTGATTCTCACTCTTATAATAGTTTGTGTTATTGTTATACTGTTGATAAGTATTGCAACAATACTCCTGAAATGACCTCGATAAGCGATTATGCAAAGTAAGATAATGTCCAACATATAGTAAACTTATTGAATATAATGTAAATTTAATATTTATTTAGTAATATGAAATATATAATATGATGGAGTCAATGACCCTTTAAAATTCGGGAATTATTATTCCTTAAATTGTGACACGAAATTAACCTTATATACGAAAGCGATAATTTACAACGAGTGTGGTCGTAAAATGTGTACGCATTTTTATTTTTATTTTTTTTTATAGTTGTTGAATACAATATTACTGTTCCATTATGTACAGTTAATCGCTTTGTATTTGCATACACTATTCTATACAATACTAGCTGATCTACATATTTATGGCCCTATATTATTTTACTGCATTTCTGTATATGGTGAGTACTGTTATATAGATAAAGGTATAAAAAATAATCTTTATATATGTTGTAACGAGTAATAATCTGTATAAAGCCATTGTATGACATGTTTAAACATAGTTATGCATTTAGTATAATTGTTTGGGAGGTAGAAAAATATGCTGAAATATTTAAATGTTGTATGTGATTAAATCTAGTATACTGATATAAGATACTTGTCGATCAAGCCGCGTTGTTCCACAATTTAGCCGCGTAACGTGATCTTAACGCTAATGGACCCTGGCGTACTTAATGGAAATATATCCTAGTAGATATTGCATAGTTATAAATAAGAATAATAATTACTTATACATTAATTATAATACAAACACTTAAATCAAGCACGATCTGATTATGAACTTCGCTATTATTAAAAAAATTCTACTTTATTAGATGTTACTATCATAACAGCATGTCATGTATATTTAAATACGTACCTTTAAGTTCAGATTATTTCAATAAGACTTAATCCAAGGACACTATAATTTTAATTAGGATTTTCGTTACTATTTCGTATAGATGTATTCTCAGCTAGGTGGGATCACAACTGATGGCCCGACTTTTATATGTATGGTGTGGGTGAGCTCTATTACAAATTGCACAAAGTTTTAGAAGTTAACATCACTACGTACATGGATGACGAAATATCTTTCAATTGATGCGGTTTAAAAGTATATTTAGACATACAAGTTTTGGTTTTATTACAATATATTATTATGACTGAACTATATGCGAATACAGGTGGTTTAAATACTCTATACTCTATATTGATTGGCATTAAGGTATATGGAAATTTTGTTTATACATAACTTGTAACTTAAACTTGTTAACTAATCGTTTACATGGTGTAAGACTCAATTTACTATGAAATGTATTGTTACCGTCAGACAATATATTTTTATTACAAGTTTTAGTTTCACTTACATTGATTTTTTTATATAGACTCTTGCAATTCGATATTTCTATAGGTTTCTTCAATAGATTAACCTGACATTTTGTAAACATATTTAGGTTAGACAATGCATGGTTAAGTGTGATGTCATTTTATACCCGAGATTACGGGCTTGTTATTTCTAATATATGCCCACAATATAGGTATCAAATGAAATGTTGGTAATAATACGAGTAAACTTTACTATAATTTATGTGTTGAAAGCTTTTAGCCATTATTTGGCTATTCTATCATTGTCACCGAATATTCGGCGAATGGCATGCGATTCGTTTCAAGTTCAATATATAAAAATTTTCCGCAACCGTCAATCATACTCATCAGTCAGTCACAAACAAGTCTCTTTTCCATTTGTGGAGTGTAAATAATATATTTAAATTTATTTCATAAATAATAAAACATTTTAATCATAGTTTTCTAAGTAACGAAACTACTACTGAGAGCAATAACTTAGAATAGTTGAATGAATTCTTAAACCCAGAACATGATATTGCACTACAGACATCCATTGCATAATACAGGATTCATTTCGCGAGCAAACCATTATGCCAATAGGGCCGGGTCGTTGACCTCACAGCACCCTCGTTTTCAACTTACTCAGACTCTGTACGTGACCGAGGCAACGTCCGACAATCTTGAATTACATCACCTGTGCTGCAAATTCGTCATTTTGATTTACGGAATTACTATCAAATAGACAAATGACTCAGTAGTTCCAGCTTGTTTGCTAAAAGGAAAATATTCCTCC